AAGAAAATAAAGACTCTAAAATATTTATAGAAGATTTACCCGGTAAAAACTTGTTTTTAATTATTCAGTTTGGGTGAAAGTTGTGTATTATATAAATAAAAAAAACTAAAGTAAACTAGCCAGAAAATATTATATATAAACGTTCTTTTAGTTCATGTAACGTTAAAGGGTCACTCCACCCATTTGCATTAAGAGGTCCATTGTTAGACAACCAGTCATACTATTGAATGGTCGTGCAACATTCTTTCATTTTCCCCTGAGATGAGAGAAATCTACTATTTACCTTTTTCACTTCCTCCTACAATGACGCAAAAATCGTCATTTGACGTCATTGTAGGAGGAAGTGTAAAAAGGGGGGATTTCTGTATAGACTACAAGCACAAATTCCCACCCTTTCAAACCCGCCCATAGGGGGTTGTGCCTAATGCCCTAACAGAGCTATCACAGATCAGTGGGTGGGGCTTCACTTGCAGATACTGAAAGCAATATCAGCCATCTTGTTTATAAGCTAAGCTAACAAGCGCTGTGGATATAGGAAGTTACGACAATGACGGAAGAAACTAAAAAACATGATATGGAAGTAGAGGATTTTGAAATTCTGCTGCTCGAATCCGCTCTTCGTGGCTATCTTTACGAGCCGCAATATAGTGAAGAGCAGCTGAGGCTGATGGAGGATCAGGAGGCGGCTGCCTGTCGCGAACGAGGAGCCCGGACTGGGTCGAGCTGAGGCGGGCTGCTGGTGCGTGTGCTCTCGCTGTGCGCTACGGACACAGATAGAGTCCGTCTGCTGCAGAGAATTTCAACGATCGCAATTTCTCCTAGACGAAATCTCTGAATCAGACGACCACACGGACGTTTGTGTTGTGATGTGAACCATCCTAGTTTCGCCTGACTGAAAATCCAGGTATCATGCAATAATTCACCATATAGAAAGAAATACAAACGAGTAATTCACTAATGAGTTTGCCAATGTAACGGGGTTCGTTGTTGTGGGAAGAAGGAGGCTGGAACCGGCGAACATTTAAACATTTTAATAGTAAAATAAACAAATACAAAACAAAAGTATAAGCCAGCTGGCCACACACAACAGAAACAAAACATAAAATCAGGCCTGTTCCTTTTGTGCTTCCGCTCCTCCGTGAGAGATATGAGACCGCTGCACAGGTGCCATTCATTATCACTCGCGTCGTCCTCTCACGTCCCTCGCCCTCGTCCTGCTCGCCACAGCCAACTAACTAGACATTTTTTGTGAAATGAATTTCAAACTCATTTAGCAGCTAGCCTTCTTGTAGACGGAAGAGGGATTTCTCTGATGTTTGCGCTGTTCTGGATTAGTGGGAGTGGCTTGCGGAGCTGTGCAACGTGGTGCATTGTGGGAGTTGTCGTCTTACATACAAATGCGCCCTAAAGTTATTTTCTGTCTTTTCTCGGTCAAGAGGGCACCAAATTCAAAATTTCTTTTACATTTCGACTACATATATAACCCACTTTCAATAAAGATTAATGTTGAAATGGGTGGAGTGACCCTTTAACACACAGACAGCTACAGGCTAGCACAACCCAAATCAAAACCGAGTGTGTGGTTTATTTGTGTGTTTTGTTTTTTATCCGCGGAGTTGCGGTCTTGTAAACATCGAAAGTATGACTGAAACTAATAGATTGGAGCCATTTTCTGGGTTGTTTTGTTGTATTACATTTAACTTACACTCACCGGCCACTTTATTAGGTACCCCATGCTAGTAACGGGTTGGACCCCCTTTTGCCTTCAGAACTGCCTCAATTCTTCGTGGCATAGATTCAACAAGGTGCTGGAAGCATTCCTCAGGGAGTTTGGTCCATATTGACATGATGGCATCACACAGTTGCCGCAGATTTGTCGGCTGCACATCCATGATGCGAATCTCCCGTTCCACCACATCCCAAAGATGCTCTATTGGGTTGAGATCTGGTGACTGTGGAGGCCATTTTAGTACAGTGAACTCATTGTCATGTTCAAGAAACCAATTTGAAATGATTAGAGCTTTGTGACATGGTGGAAGTAGCCATCAGAGGATGGGTACATGGTGGCCATAAAGGGATGGACATGGTCAGAAACAATGCTCAGGTAGGCCGTGGCATTTAAACGATGCCCAATTGGCACTAAGGGGCCTAAAGTGTGCCAGGAAAACATCCCCCACACCATTACACCACCACCACCAGCCTGCACAGTGGTAACAAGGCATGATGGTTCCATGTTCTCATTCTGTTTACGCCAAATTCTGACTCTAACATCTGAATGTCTCAACAGAAATCGAGACTCATCAGACCAGGCAACATTTTTCCAGTCTTCAACTGTTAAATTTTGGTGAGCTCTTGCAAATTGTAGCCTCTTTTTCCTATTTGTAGTGGAGATGAGTGGTACCCGGTGGAGTCTTCTGCTGTTGTAGCCCATCCGCCTCAAGGTTGTGCGTGTTGTGGCTTCACAAATGCTTTGCTGCATACCTCGGTTGTAACGAGTGGTTATTTCAGTCACTGTTGCCCTTCTATCAGCTCGAACCAGTCTGGCCATTCTCCTCTGACCTCTGGCATCAACAAGGCATTTCCGCCCACAGAACTGCCGCTCACTGGATGTTTTTTCTTTTTCGGACCATTCTCTGTAAACCCTAGAGATGGTTGTGCGTGAAAATCCCAGTAGATTAGCAGTTTCTGAAATACTCAGACCAGCCCTTCTGGCACCAACAATCATGCCACGTTCAAAGTCACTCAAATCAACTTTCTTCCCCATACTGATGCTTGGTTTGAACTGCAGGAGATTGTCTTGACCATGTCTACATGCCTAAATGCACTGAGTTGCCGCCATGTGATTGGCTGCTTAGAAATTAAGTGTTAACGAGCAGTTGGACAGGTGTACCTAATAAAGTGGCCGGTGAGTGTATATGCGAATGTTGTACACCTCCCCAACTTCTAAAAACAAATGTATAGTTGTTTTTGTAAAGAATTGCTCGCTTATATATAATGCCGAAGTCATATTTCAATGTCTTTGGAAAACAAGAAAAAACACAAAATGACTTAAGCAATTATGCTATGAGGCTAACGATATGTAGCTTTGGAGCCGCTGCTGTGACACTGTACAAACGCTTCCAGTGTGAATACTCTCGCGCGTCTGCAGCTGCAGTGACGATGTAGTTACGCTGACGCGCTGCTCAAATGCCGCTCACGCTTGCGGTGTGAAACCTATATGTGAAACGGCCGCAAGGCTGCATCGAAAGGTAACTTCGCGTCTACTGCCATGTTTGATCCATAGGTATAAACAACAAACTGCTTCGGTGTGTCGCATAGACGCGTCATCGTCTTGCTGGTCCCTCCCCGTTCTGTGATTGGTTCCCTAAATGAGGCGAAAAATCTGGCCATGGTATCCAGACTGCCTTTCAGCGTGAATTGAATCGCGCTGCGGTAAGGCAGTATGGGGAAACCCAGGCTAGCACCATGTCACAAAGCTCGAATCATTTCAAATTGGTTTCTTGAACATGACAATGAGTTCACTAGGGCTGTTTTCGACTAAGGATTTTCATAGTCGAATCTGATTCGTTAGATTTTGCCGTAGTTGACTGATAGTCGAACCTTTTTTTTTTTTTAGATAGCAACGTTAGTTATATTCGGTTGAATAACTGTTCGTCTGTTATAGGACAACTCGCTCTACGTTTATTTAAAATGAACAGCAAGACAACTAGAAGTGAATGTGCTTTTTCCATTAAATGAATCCTTAACAAAAAAAAAAACAAAAAAACGTTGCAATGAACGTGCTTTGTTTTAAATAAATCACACACAGTAAACAAAACCTTAACAAAAAAACTTTGCAATGAACTTTGCAATTTAGACACGCAAACTGCGTGCCGGTGCGGTGAGACGTAGCCTACATGCTCGGACAGATTCGGCCTGAAGTCGTTCATCCTCGGATGCGGCGTCGCGCGCACTGTTACAAAAAAAAGCTGTGCACACTGCCAAGCGAAATGGGGTCTTGCCGGTCTTGCGCACCCAGCGCGTCATTTTTTGCCGTGCGCACCTTGCGCTAGTGCGGATGCGTCAAGTATAAACAAGGCTTTACTCCATGTCAGTGCGCACTCTGATCGGTAAAGGGGCACAGACCTCTCCCGAATCATCTCCAGCATTCAGCCTCTGAAGCACCAATAACCCCGCCTCCGTTTCCCTCGTAAGATGATATTAGTATTTAAACATTCTCTATGATAAAAAATGTTTGTAAAAAATATTTTAATAGCACGGTTTTGGCGGTTATAGAGTTCTAATGACGGTGTTCAACTATAACCGTCGGTCTCACGGTTATATAATAACCGTCACACCCCTATTGGTTACATAACACTTCCCTACTATTCGACTATGAGGTTCATAGTCGAATCAGACCTCTCCGAATCGAATCGTCGAATCCTTTACTATTAGAAGTCAGCCCTAGAGTTCACTGTACTAAAATGGCCCCCACAGTCACCAGATCGCAACCCAATAGAGCATCTTTGGGATGTGGTGGAACGGGAGCTTCGTGCCCTGGATGTGCATCCCACAAATCTCCATCAACGGCAAAATGCTGTCCTATCAACATGGGCCAACATTTCTAAAGAATGCTTTCAACACCTTGTTGAATCAATGCCACGTAGAATTAAGGCAGTTCTGAAGGCGAAAGGGGGTCAAATACAGTATTAGTATGGTGGTCCTAATAATCCTTTAGGTGAGTATGTATTCCCAATTATATTTATTTTTTGTACTATTCAGTAAATGTACTGCAAACATTGTATTGCATGCAATTTAATTTCTCTCTTCAGTGCTTTATGACAGAGGCACGTGGTCGTTATGCTGTATCGTTACAATAATCATTGTCAAAATTTCTTGCAATGCCATTAAATTATTATGCAAAAAAGCAGTCTTTAGAAGGATTTAAAAAAAGGATTTTATGAAGACATTAGGAATTTGCTGTAATGATTGTCTAAGAAGCAATATCACTATTATCATACCTGGTGTGTTTTCCTGTCAATGTGCCCTGTGGATTGGTAGAGGCAGCAGTGCTTTGAGCGAAACTGGACTCCCGAACAGCGCCTCCAAGTGGTGGCAAGGACCTTGTGGGTTTATAATACTGCAAAAGACACAATATGCAAGACAAATGTTAAATATTGCACTGTTGTCTATGGCCGATTCAATGAACTGTCACCTAAACTTATAATGAATACGTTTTTTTTTTTTCAGTCCCAGTTGGATAATATATCCAGAAAGCTCAGTCATCTGCTCTACTCTTTGCCTTGATTCTTGGCTTTGACAAAGAGTCAGTGGACGGTTTCCACTGATGTTCAGATAATCCAACAGACCTCTATGGAACCTGCAGACAAAACTAATTTAAATTTCACACCTTGAAAGAATTCCTCATAAAAATCCTTTTCTGCTTCTGGCAGAATGCACACAATGATCTAAATGTCAGAGAGATACTTAATCTCCTCCACTATCCCACCTTCACTTCACAGTGTCGAGTGAAAGAGAAGAGAGAGAGGGAGTGTACAGGAAGAGAACTGATAGTTGACGGGGGATCAGAGAAGGGCACTAGAGTTTCACTTTCAGGACTATGTAAATCCAAGCAATGTCCCAATAGCTTCCTCTAATGGAACTGTGGGAACAATTTGCAGTGGCAGCAGAGACCATACTGTTTCCCCCCACATCCTTTTTCTTTCCTCATTTACATTTATGCATTTAGCAGACACTTTTTCCAAAGCGACTTACATTTCATGCAGAAAAACATAGAGGATGTAGAAAAACTATAAAAATGTGAACAAATATGTGGGTCCACATATGTGAATGTTTTTAAAATATTATAGACATGAATAAAAGGTTTTTATATTTGTTCTACATTCTCAAATGCCTTGGGCCTCATGTTTTTTGCACATTGAACTATCCCACATCCAAAGAGCCCCGCGATGCAGACTTTATACCCCAGTAGCCCTCTTTGCATCTTTTGTTCTATGCATTTAATCAGTTAAGCATTCCTTGGGAATCCAATTCATGACTTTGCCATTGCTAGCGCCATGCTCTACTGTTTAAGCGACAGAAACACTGGAACTTTATTGTGATTGCTTAAAAATATGCAGTGTATGTGCATAATGTAGTAACTCATTATTATCCGTTCTGTAAATTATGACCGGGAGCATCTTTACATTATGATTCAAATGCATCATGTAACCTCCCACCTTACAGGACTTTATTCATTTGTGATATAACAGTAGCTTGGAGGAAATGTCTTGTGTCTGTGAAATATTGACACTGCCTTGACAAAGAAATTACATATGCAAGTGTGACATTTTTTTTTCAAACCTGGGCTGAAGTAAGCTGACAATACATATGTGAAATGTAACCATACCAATGAACAATCCCACAGGCAATTTTAAAATGTTTTATCTATTTTGAAATGAGTCATATGTTTAAAAACACTTAGATACAACTCTATCTTTTAATTCAAAACAAAACATAGTTTGATTACTTTAGACTTTAGCTAACATTTAGCCAGTTATGTTATGCTACGTTATGTTATATGGCCATCTTTCTCTCTATGTTAATATGAATTGCATAGCTGTATGATCAAGAGACTCATGATGACAGTGAATGTGCTATTGAAAATATTAGGTGAGTAGGAAGGAGCTATAAAGAGAAAAAAAGATGTATACAGAAGGAAAAAGGGAGCCAGAGAAAGAGTAGAAATGAATCTGTGGGAGGATGTGGTGGAAGACATTCTGACTAATGATTTATGTGAATTCAGAGAGAAAAATAAAAGCCAAATATTCAGAAAAGGTAAAGAATATGGTTTGCTAAAATGGTCATTCTGTAGTGCTTGAAACATGTGAAACATGAAATTAAAACATCAGTTCAATTTGTTTTTTTCTCAAACCCAAACATATTCTAGCAATAGTATAAAAAAATGACTCAGAGTGCTACAAAAAATCTTAAAAATCATTTCATGCAACAGGTTTCTGAATTGAAGTTCAAAGCTTTATCACATGGGTAACTAGTATTAGACAAGCTAGAAGCCTATCATTACTGAAGCAGTCAATTTCTTTTTCCGTAGAGATGCACTTTGACCACACTCAAAAGAACCTGTTCAGGCGATCAAAAATGACTTCGTCCGAAATCTTTTGAAAGCATCTTTCTGATCTGGAAGATTCATTTTTCAAAGCACAGCCACCTACATTTCCAGAAAATGCATGTAATTAATGTAAACTAAATAAATGTAATACAAAACAGCTGAAAATTGAGACTTGTAAAAAAAAAATATATATTTTTAAGTAGCATAGCAGAGATCACCTCAGACATCATGATGGCACATATCAAAGCTATATGAGCGAGTTCCTCACAGCATGACTTTGTTATACAGCTATACAGAGGCGAATATATGGGATGTATGGGGAATAATGAGCTCATTGGAAGTTAACATGTCTATGTTCAAAGGTTTTCGATGCACCTGCTTTGAACATAGTTGCATTAGGCTGAATCCATGCTGGTTTCTCAGAAGGACAGTTAGGAGGGGATGTTAATATAATGGATGTTTTAATTTAGCCGTTATGACACAGCTAGAGCTTGTGCAATCTGCATGATGTGTCCCAAGTTAGATGGTAATTGTTTTAAATGCCATGCCAGAGAGGAATAATCTGGAGTAAATAAGTTACATGTGACAGGGTTTAGAGAGCTGTGAATTGCTCTACTTGCTCACCCTCATGTTACCCACACGTCAACGGTTTGAATATTTCACATCCATAATAATCAAAAATGTTGTGGTATGCAGGGGCAAAGCTAACAACAAATAATTCACATTTGCATGGCAAACATCAGCCTAAAATATCATTCTATACCAGACAGGTTGTATGTTACCTGCGTATTATAAATGTTTGTTTATATGCCTGTGGGTTGAACTTTCAGCAAAAGGTGCACCTGAGGCATAGGTTAGGGCTGACATTGAAATGTTATGAAAACAAATCTTACATTAGTAATCTTATAAGTTTCAAAGATATTGCTACCAGGGGTTTCTCTAATTCAGATATGCGTCAAATGTTTGACAAGTCACTTCATCCTATATTCACCGCAGTTCATATAATTACTGAAAGAACAAAAAGATTGTCATGAAAAAACAAACTAACATCATGTGTCAAAAGCAGGCCTGTGCTTGTCACTGGCCTAGTTTTGATTGCTTTGGCTGGCATTTCTTGTCTTCTGACAGTGTGCGATTGCTGTAACGATTAAACATCTCACTGGGTTTGAGTGACATTCAAATTACCATTGTGTTTGCCATGCAAATAGCCTGTATCGGCTTATCTGTGATGGATCGGCTAGTGGAGCGATTGAGAAAGTGCCGAATATTAACCAAATCTCCCGACAGGATGCACTGTCTACATTCACTTGGACACGGGACTGGCACAGCATTTCTGAGCTGGTAAGACAGAGAATGATGCAGTAATCACAAACCCTCAGTGATGGACTAGCATGACTACCATTATTAGTGTGGCTGTCCTTTGAGACTCACAAACCCTGAATAGCTGTGACAGAGCCTCATTACAACGAGCTGAGTGGTGTAAAGCGTCAGCTGTTCTTGGTTTTACCCGCTGATGAGCAAGAGATGTGATGGGATTTGTCTCAGAAACCCCATTAAACATGTATTTTCAGTGATTGGATCACTATCAGATAGAACCTGACTACATACGACTCCATGAGAGCAAATTTTGAGTTTTATGGCTTCTATTCATGTGGTTCTCAACCTTTTTGACTTCAAGACCCTCCTTTGTCCAAGACAATATTCGAAGGCCCTCACATCAGGGGCGGAGGAAGGGGATGGCTTCTGGGGCTCCAGCCCCGAATCTTTTAGGTTTCTTAAGTGTTGAAGAAAAAAATAGAGTTTTCGATACATATCTATACTGAAATATTTAAAACGGTTCAATACCGCTATTCCTCAGTATTGGTACACCGATACCAGCTGCGCTTTATCTCTCTTCATCTTAAGAGTTTACAGACGTATGAGATGTTTATAGCGGCTGTGGAGGATGATCAGATATTTATTTTAATTTTTATTATTAACTTGTTTACGTCACTCAAATAGCGCGCTTGGAGAAACTGGCAGCCATGCAACAGACAAATGACCAATCCTGAGACGCATTCTACCAGCACGGTTTCCAGGCCGAGAACAGTTTGTAATCGGGCCGAGTTGAACCAAGCTCAAGTCAAAACATAACTGGAACCATTCTTTACTGGACTTAATACCGTTCAGTCCGACGGTGGAAAAGCGGCTCAAAGTTTCAAGTCTTTACGACTTACGGTTTGGTCAGCCCGATCACTTTTAGGGGAGAATGCTGATCCTTGGAAAATGTGACAATTACAATAGGGTTTCAGCGCTACGCGCTTGAACCCCAAATAATACGTTTTATTTGTATAGCTCCTTTCCAGTGCTCAAGGACGCTTTAACATGTAACAAGGATAACACCAATAGGGTAGACAATGATGACAAATAAAACAACAAAACAAACAAAAATAATTAGTAGGTTAGAGTAACAGAACACAGAACAGTCAAAGAGCATTATAGAGAAAAGGCAGCATACAGCAGAATAGAATCAAGCACAACGGAATACAGGACACAACTCAAGAATGACAACATTCAGAAAATAAGTGAGTTTTGAGTAATGATTAAACATTTGTGCAGGATTTAGGCTAAGCAAGCCAACTAATTGGCTAGCGATAAGCTAAGCCAACACGTATCTTGCAAAACATAAGCCAATTTAAAAAAAAGAAAGAACAAGAAATGTATAATTTCATAATCTTTAGTTAGCTTAAGCTATTATTTATAAACCATATATGGCCATAATAACATAGTTCAGATGCAGTGCATCAGGTGATTTTCTAGGATTTTTGTAATCAGGCACTGAATAACTTACCCATTTAAGGTTCTCTCAGGCAATGGAATCGTTTTGGGGTCTTATTTAGAATGGACAGACTGAAACCGTAAACCCAAAAGACTTTTAGGAATTTTCTTAAAAAAGAAAATCCTTTTGATATGTCCCCTCCAAGCCTCCTGTTTCAATTGGAAATGCATCAACACAGAAAATGGCATTTTCAAAAAAGCAATTTTCCTAGGGTCTTTTAAAGTCTGAATGCACTAGTAGAGACACAATGGAAGGCAAGATGTAGATGCATTCCAGTTTAAGAATATCCATGTACTATTCTGATACAAAACATAAATTTATGCCAGTCATAAAAAGGGCCAGAGGAACTTACTTTCTGGATCTGCAGGCCTTGCTGGGGCCTAAGGCTGGGTTTAGGGGCCAGGCTGGAAGAGTTGAGGTTGTAGTTTTTCTGGCTACGAGTCTCTTTCAAGTGTGCCTGGAGCTTTTCTCTCCTTCTCCTATAGGGGGCAACATAATTAGAGAACAATTCAAAATATGGGGTATTCATTTACACAAAAACATATGAGCAGACTCATTCGCATGCAAACACATCACCCATCATCTGTAAGAATATTCTCTGACAGTCAAGACAGCCCATATTATTTTCCTTGGAGATAAAATAATTACTGGTGCACTTAAATGTCACTACATCATTGTTTGATTTTTCTTCTGTCAGTTCGCTCACTCGTATCATGCGTTTTATTGAAATTGCTTCAGGAGCTCCTACTTACAGTCAGTTGCTTGACTCAACTCATGGGTGAAATATGGATATATATACTCAACCGCATGGAACAGATCTAATGTGGCTATTATTACCCCCTATTTATGCCTACAAAAGGCAGTATTTTAAAGCATATACACTCTCTCAAGGCTGTTCTAAAGGTAGGAGTTTTAATTATTCTGTTTCCTAGGATATCTAAATTTGGCCAAATTCTAAGGCAGCATCACATGCAACTTTTGCAGCAGTAGTTCTCAATCTTTTTGACTCCAAGGCCGCCCATTGTCCACAATAATATCTGAAGCCCCCCTAGTCCAAGCTTTTTAGGCCCCTAGCTCGTTTTAACCAATGCATTTACATGACTCAAGAAAAGGATAAATATATATATTTTTTTAATAACAACTTCTGTTAAAATATTTTAAAGCTTGGAATACCTAAAATGTCTTGACACCACACTTAAAAAATTAGGCGTCCTCATATATGCAGTTTTTCCAAGACAAGGCAATTTTTTTTTTTATAAATCAATAAATACATTTTTATTTAAGTATGAGTTTATTTTATTCAATAAAAAATGAAATGCAATTAAATAGCATAATTAGAAAATTGCACAATATGCCTAGCAACAGCAAACTACTGTTGAATTCAAGTGGCAATTTTTTTTATTTTTTTTTGTTCTATGATGGTTAGGATGTTTTCTTAGAAGGTAGCTGCCTATGTAGCACCAGCGCCAGCACATTCAAAGCAGGCCGAAGCATGCCATAGGCCAAAAATGTTTTAATTCATCCCTGTTGAAAAGGTGGCCAGTAGAGCTGTGGGTGCTTTTATGAGAAAGTAATTATGTCCCCAACTCCAGTCATTATGTTTCTGGGTTCCATAGCAGTCGCTCTTTACTTTAGCTTGTTATATTGTGCCCTTCTTTCAAATGATATGCTCTGGGGAACAGCTCAAGCTTTGATTAATTCTGAGGTCCACTCACTTGTTCCGACAGTAGAGTGCCATGCAGAGGGTGCCTAGAAAGCTGATCCCCATGGCAATACATGTGATAGACATCACTTGTCTTTTGTACACCTCCTTGCTCTCTGTTGGGACGAAACAAACAAGGGCAAGAAAACAAGAAAAGACATGAGAAAAACATTCGCTGTTATACAAAAAGCAATATCCTAGCACTTATGCAGATGCATTTAGGGGAAACACTGTCAATGAATGCAGCACATTAAGAAATATTTGTTGCTGCAATTGAGGTGGCCAGGAATAAGAGAATAAAACATGGCTTACAAAATGCTAGTTTGCAATGTAGCAAGTCGTGCAACTGAATCACTGAAAAGAGGCGAGTAATAGACAAAGTTTTTTTTTTTTTTTTTTGTAGGATGGATTGCAGAGGACAAGTGCTAAAACCTAAATGGACACTATTAAGTGTGAAAAATATCAGCTGTCATTTCTCATATGAAAGAGTAAATCACGCTTGTCTTCACAACTGTTAATAGGCAATCAATCAGATTATACTCAGACACAACACTCTACAAGAGCTGCCACTAACTTCACATTGTAATGAATGTGTCGTCGACTACATGAGTGTGAGTGTGACTAGAATTCAAACAATCATATGAGCTTTCCAAGGTCATACTCAAAGAAATGTTAACCTCGCATATACAATTAAAGTCACCATGAATTCAAAATGGACAATTCTCTTTTTTTCAATGGAATATTGAAGTTAAATGAATTATGCGTGAATATCTTTTTTTTTTAAATTCATGTTCCCTCGTAATCTTTAATCAAAATAACTTTACTCCGTCTTGCGGCAACATCTCATCTCTTCTCAGATGTGTTCACTGGCGTGAGGACAACCTGTCACTCACATGAGATTAAAGAAATAGCATAAAGATCCAATCAATGCCAGACAGACAAAATCAAGTCTACATTTTTTTTCTAATTTAAGAAGCCGTTTCACTGAGATATACATCACAATATAAGGAAGAACAGATCGTAACCTCCATTTCATACCAACTTTACCAGGCTAGTCATCATGGTCACCCAAAGTAATATTGTACTCCCTTAAGGTAAGTCAGTTTACTTCGTAGCCATTTTGGTAACGTCTTCTGACAGTCATTTCATATGTAAGAAATAGGCGTACCAGTACAGCTTGACACTAAAAAAAGACTATTAGTCAAGATTGTTTCAATAATGTATGATTTCAAGTCAGTAATAAAATCTGACAAAATGTACATGAAATTTGGTTATTTTGCTCAAATCATGGCATATAAATATAATATTTATATTCTACTTTATTTCAGCTATATTTCAATTAACTACCACAATTTTTAACAGTTTTAGTTTTCAAAACAACACTGTTGTAAGGTGGGACCCCTCATATCGACTTTACTCGTTCATATTTCTATGGGTGGTCCTTCACCTCCCCCTTAAACTGTCTCAAGATACAAAAATAAAATCTCCAAATGTTCAGAGGTTCATAAGTCCATTAACTTGCAGAAAAGATCAATAAATGAGAGTGTAAATCCTTGTGAAGCCAATCACGCTTTATTCAGTTTTCTCTCCTGCTTTAATTATTAATTCATCGTCATGCTTTACAAATTGACTTATTCCCATGCCATTATGGCCACCATCACATAATTAAAGTGACTGGAAACCATGGGATGAATTATAAAAAAGGGAAGAGGAAAGATAAAAGGAGGTGGGATGTATTAGCATCCTCTCTTCATTTTGTGCACTCTCCTACACATTACCTCATCCTCTTCCACATATCATTGATCCTCTTAAAGAGAAGAGAGTGATGGGCAGTGAAAGTGGGGTGTTATGTTAATTTATGCCCATATACTTTTACACATATCATCAATCCTTTTGAAATTTCTAAGTTTAAACATGTCTCTGTACAATGAAAAACTAAATAGTATGTTGTTAGTAGTTAGTTTATTTCAAATATGGTAAGCAGTGCAGGGGTATGAGAAGCCCCACCGTGAATAATCATACACTTGCTTCTCATTAAGGCACCCACAGATAGAAAATATAACCAAGAGAACAAAACTTGCATCCTACCAATATCACCCACTGCACTCTGCATACTTAACTGTGAAATTGAAGAACACTCAAAAAAGTTTGTGCCTTTTGTTTAGATTTACAAATTTCAATTGTATAGTAAAATTCCATCAAATGGAACTGAATAATCCTTACATATTATTCATATAATTAATTACGAATTTTTACACATTTTGTATAAATCTTTATGGAACAAGGGAATGGACCATTAATTCATTAATTAAATGAGTATGAATCACATAAACTGAAATGGTCCATTTCCTTGTTCCATTCATATTTATATATGTTTTATTAAGCTCTATTTTTTTTTTTACTCAGAATTTTTTTATCCAAAATATGAATAATATGTCATTATTATTCAATTCAATTTGATGGAATTTTACTGTACAATTAAAATTCATAAATCTTAAAAACAGGCTGAAATATTTTTTTGAGTGAACAAGTTGAATTATATATATATATATATATATATATATATATATATATATATATATATATATATATATATATATATATATATATATATATATATATATATATTTGGTTTCTTGAGCACCAAATCAATAAATTCAATAAATGCACATTGTACCCAAAACGCTACCAGAGACACCCCTAAATACATACATACATGCATACATACATGTACATACATAAATAAATAAATAAATAGTCATTTTATGAGTTCTTTTTCAAACAATTCAGATTTCCCTCCATTATCAGTCGGTTCTAGTTTGATTTGGAAGTCTCGAGTGACCGCAATGTAGCAGCATCTGTTTGCTGATATTCTATTTATCTTTACAATTTACTACATATAGCAAACTCCATAAACGGAGCGTGTGTAAGGCTAGGCAAAGCTTAGTCTTCCACTGGCCACGGACTTGAGACTAGCCTGGAATATTTTCATTCAAACCACTGACTGCTGCTGCTTCTGATTGCCTTTAGAGGTAAAAGCTGCCCATAACTGCTGGTTTAGGATCAGTTTTCTCCGTAAGAATAACACTGGTGAAACAGATTTGGTGTTTGCGATCTTGAGAGCGTCAAAGGTAACTATTTACAATGTGTTTTTGCAGCATTGCAATGCAGCCAATCAAAACATATCTGTTGATTTCTTCAACGCAATGGCCAATTAGACGTATTTCATAATTCGCTCACATCGCAAAACGCTGGGGTTTTTGTCCAGTGCTGAGTATAACAAAGAAAGTGTAGACATTATGTAGGCTAAAGAGATTCACAGTGCAGTCAGCTTTATTGATTATAGTAGTTTGCTGCATTAGGTAAGGCAATGGTTATTTATTATTCGAATTGGTTGCCATGCCAAATCACGCATACAATATGACTGCTTTTCTTTTAAAATGATAGTGGTTTGTAAATGTAGACGCTTTAATGACTTTAATCTTCGGGAGCATTTATGCTGGAATGTGAGGGTTGTTGCTAGGTGACACGTAACTTTGACCTATTTCATGACATTCTATTTAAATGTGTTTTTAAAGAGGAAGCGCATCTCCTTAGCCTTACCCTGGAGTTGGTTCACTCTCCACCTACTGTATGGCCAACTCATCTACTTTTTTGGTTTTCTGACCTGTCAGGCCTGAGATTAAACAGAAGTATGTTTTTTTCAGAGGTTACAGTTGTAAGTTAAGCATGTTTGAATGTAAGTGTGTCCTAAGTTTGCACTTTTAAGAGGGGAAGGTGCTGTGCCCTGGCTGGCAGAGGTGCCATGAGCTAGCCATGCCCGACTGATAACCATGGTTGAACTGGATAATGATTGAGAGACCTGGCATTTCAGTGGCGCAGGCATCTGAAAGATACATCAAAGGCTTCAACCCTTCACATGCACACACAACTTGAACACTTATAATCAACCTCGAATAACAGTGTTTCACTTAAGATTGCCATAACCTTCACAGAGAATACAGGATTTCATTTTTTTTTCTCAGATTTAAAAAACAAAAAAAAACAAAAACAAAAAAAAAAACAGTCTTTTAAGTGCGAAACCTTGTGTCTTATTTACAAAATACTCACAGTCCAGCATATAATGTATTTCTGTAAATTAATTATTCTTTTCAGAGCAAACATGCATCCTTTCTATAAATTAGGCTTATTATAAAATACACACTACAGTATTTGCCAAGCATAATTAACATCTTACTATAAACTTTGCAAATATTATTTAGAAGAGACATTTGCGTATATTTTAATATTACGTTGTAATCATGGCAGCATTAATTCATACAATTATGGAGAAGATCACTATAACCAGGCATATATCCAGACATGCTGTGGTCAAAAATCATGCTGTACAATCCTGAGGCATTCTATATCCAAAATATAGAAAATTGTCAATTGCACAGTGCAAACAACAGCTAGCACTAATTTATTATAGGCTTCTTTGAGTTGTTACCTGATTTGAATAATTCCTTTAGTGCAAAAGGTCTGAAAACATTTCAGACAGCACAGGCAAACCAATATTAGCATTCTTAGTGAATTCCCATAGAATTGACCCAGAAGCAGTAAATATGTAGAACATGCATCTGTATCACATGACTGAATTGCAAAATGGTTTCTTAATTTAACATACAGAGTCTACAGTATTACAATCCCAAACTGTCAGTTCAGAGCTCTTTTATTTTTAATAAAACATAAAAAAAAAAAAAAAATTAAACTTAACACTTAAGCAAATACTGGTCAGAATTATTTTTATTATTTTAAAATTCATAAACTCACAAGTTCTGACTTATTTCCAGGTCTGTAGCAATCATTTTAACAATTCAAAACTACAATTCAACAAATTTCCATTATCAGCCCCTAATACATTTTTTTTTCTTTTCAAATTGTCCCAGGATCCCCATTTTATTCTATACATTTACTTCTGTCTTCTCTATGTGCCCCATGCTCACTAACGGGAAAGCCAAGCACAGTCTGTGGTCTTAAAAAGGATTGGAGGAATCACTCTACACTCTTTTATCAATGTAGTCCACTCTTTGCCGTTGCTGCTAAGAGGAAGTGAAACTGTCTATACATGTATCATTCTGAGCTCTGAGCGTGCACATGGAAACTATCAAACCATCACACAAAGGCTTAAACAAGCTGTCATGCTGAGTCCTACAGCTGTGTGAGATAAAGCAGTGCATGAAAGCACATCTCAGCCTTCTCAATCTTCTTTTTAAGATGGCAGAATCAAAACACTTAGGTCCTGACTCAAGTGACACACTTCATGTGGTTTTGTGGCTTACATTTGTGCATATTCATGACATCTAAGACTGGAGTGCCCCCCTTTTCGTTCAATGACTCAGAATTCGACAGACAGACAGACAATCAGATGCAGAGACAGATAGACAGGTGGATAGATACAGACAGATAGACAGGTGGATAGATACAGACAGACAGATAGACAGATAGACAGATAGATAGATAGATAGATAGATAGATAGATAGATAGATAGATAGATAGATAGATAGATAGATAGATAGATAGATAGATAGATAGATAGACACTATCCGCTCTCAATCAGGAACCTTTTGGAAGAGGTGTGCTATAGGCCTCAACAATGGAAATTGGAAATCAACGCGAACAAAATCCATCTGCCTGTTACCCTCACTCACCCATCGATCTACAGCTCTGGGAATCTACCAAGCTCTATGATCAAAATACTGATAGCCATTTCTCACTCTAAGGCACGAGATGATGTCACATTAAAGTCATAATCTGAAGCTATTTTTTTAGGTTATGTGATGCAAAGCAGATCATTGTGTATTTGAGCAAAAAATACATATTACATATTGCATATTATTTTACAGAACTCAACTTTTAGCCTACAGGTGTGAGTTCAAATGTATAACATTTTTATTAAACACATTATGTGGTAAAGACACTGAGACTGTTACCTCAAAAACTGTGCCAACAAAATGAATTCACTCTCACTGTCTCCTGTCACTGTCCTTTCAACATTTCAATGCCGTTTCCAAGGAGACCAAAGAGCATTCGAATTCTGCAGTGGAATGCAGGTGAGTGATTGGAGGAGAGGAGATATTAGTTTGAGAGCAAATGAAAGGTAGTTAGTTGACACCTATGATCTCAACAGTGTGCATTTATAATTTGCTCTCTGTTACTAATCTCTGACCACACACTAGACTAAGGGCACAGGGTGGTTATTTGATTCTAAACTAGTTTAATTGCATGTCTCTGCACAAAATTCTCGTCCTGTCAAATGTGAATGAAGCAGTCTTATGGTTCAAATATTACATCTCCTCAAATGTGAAACCCATTTGTGATGACTCTGGGGGTATCTTTATAGAAGCTGTTTGTTGTGAGTCAAGAAGGGAAAACAACATTTTGGCCCACATACAGTGCACAGTCAAAAGAGATAACAGGAACATTCACATTCAAACACATGCAATAAAAAGAGAAGCACGACTGCACAAAGCAGATACACAGCCACCTCGGCTCATATAAACTCTCTAAGCATGATTCATCGCTGTGCCAATAAGAAAGTGCTTTCTTTTTCTTACCCATGAACTCAATGCCCAAGTGATCCACTGCTCCAGCGAAGATAGAAGAGGGCAGCGGTGAAGGAGGAGGGAGGGAGAAAAAAGAGGAGAGAGAAAAAGTAGATGTAAAAAAACACTCATTGTTTGCATTCTATTCTCATAGCAAATACAGTTATAGTGGGTTACTATTATACGAAAGAGCCTTGCGACAGTGTACAACGTCTCATGTTTATCTCATGTGAAGCAACACTGTGGCTGAAATGTTACGCAAGTTTCCCATTCAACATCTGCAGATAAAACATTACCATAAACTGCTTTCATCTCTATTGTGGATCAATATCTGCAGTTCATTCGCAACCTCTTGATATTCAATTCATGAAGCATTTCTTTGCTTTGGATCAGAACGAGGATCAGCAGGTACACCAGCACTGCACAAATCAAATTACTTTATTCATTTATATATTTTTTGCCCTGTTATCCTTAAAACTATATAAATGAACTTGAGTAAAATTAAGCAAGATAAGAATTGTTTTCATAGAATATATTTTGTATTTCCCCCCTATCACATTGGCAAATTGTTTTTAAGTATGAATTAACTATTATAAATGATTTAAGTGTAAATCTAACCAAAATATTTAAGTCTAATATAACACAACTTAACTTAATTCAGTAATAATAATAATTTATACTACTACTACTAATACTAATAAATGCCAAAAATAATTTGTTAATACCTTATATTATTATTTACTTTATAATATTAATTTTACTTTAGGCAAAATACTTTTGAAGGAAATTTAGATATTCGTGTAAGACCCACACTAAAAATACTTATTAAGAAATAGATTTTTGGAGTAAGGTACTGATTTGAAAAATATTTAGGATGCTAGTTTATGTATTAAGTATGATCACTGATTTCATGACATTATTGCCTCTGCCCCAAACAAAGAGATTTAGCATATTCTAATGCTTCCTGTAAATCAAACCTCAGGAATGCATCTTCATTCTGCCAGAGAATTCCCAGGAGCTGAGGGAATAGAAGCTGTGCTCCATCAGGTATGCTCTGTCGCAGATCTAGGAGTGTATGACATTTATTTTTGCCTCTCTTTAATGCAGTGGAGTAAACAGTATGAAGTCAGAGTATACGACTGTATCTCTTGTGGATCTGTGAATGTGTTGACAGCGATGCTCTTAAATTAAGACACATATAGATACCATTTCTGCTTTCTTTGGTCAGACTTTAGTTCATTTCCTATTTATGATAACATAATTTTCTCCTACTCCTCAGCATGCCATTAAATTGGACTAATTTGACTGTCTGAGACTTAAGATGACTGTAAAAGGCTTTTCAATATTGCTTCAAGTGTGAATATTTTAATACCTCCCACCTGAAACAGAAGTCTGACAGGAAAATGATGGCATAGTTAAATTTAGAAGGGAAAGGTAGTTGCAGTCAAGATGTATGTGTGTTGGTGCCCTTGGGAGTCTTTGTTTGGGAATGCCAAGAAACTCATCAAATTCCCTTCAGAATCTCCTCAAAAACTGTCAGCATCCACAACAGAAATAAACATAACCTGTGGGCTTGCAACTCTCTATAACATAACATCGTGAGCGGTCCAAGTGAGATGCTCTCCCATCCATAACAAACACTTTCTTGGCTTTCTTGCATCGTTGGCTCCGTGCCAACAATTCTGACCTATCCAGGAAAAGTAAGGGAGCGATATGGCTGGAGTGTATAGCGGTAACTGTGCCTTTATGTCATAACGTAAGCAAAGACAGACTGTAAGGCAGGTGCAGACTGTGGGGTTTCAAGCCCATTTACTTCCCCTATTCAAACGCACACATGCAGACTGAGCCAAAAATAAGACCTTCTACCTGTCTGGAGCTGCTTGTTTAAAGCTATGAGCCTTTGGGGACATTTTCTCATTCTAAACTGCCCTCAAAACAACCAAGGACTCAAACACCCTAATTGCACACCTTCTGTTACTGGCAACTCAGAATAAATGCCTAGCCACTTGAGTAAACGTAAAGAGTCATGTTTTACCAAAAGTGGCTCATATATTACAGTTCTCAAGCTAATTTTACATACTGCTCAGTTTCTCAGATGAGATGAGTTGTGTCCCTGAGACAGGGACAAAGACAGACAAGGCTACTGACGCTTCACTTATTGTCCTTGAGAAAGAAAAAAAAACACTTATTAAATTGCCTCAGGTTTCACAAGAAATGTGCCTAAAATTGTGCCTACTGTCCCCTGAAGTCGACCAGGGACAAGGGCTATATGAAACATTAATCTACTGAATGAGACTGTTTCATGTATTTATCTGTCCTACAATGGAGAAGTTTAAACACTCTTTCTGGAACTAGGCAGTATCTGTCTCTCTATCAAGGAGAAGTGGGGTGATTGTGCTCGCTTTTTCTAAATGTAATTGCACCCGATAGCCTTGTAATGCCTTGTAAATCCTGAGGCTTAGTGCTATTGAGAATGAGAAGGTGACGTCACGCGTATCACTCCGCGTTGCATTGTGGGAAGGATTCACCATCTTGGTAGGATACGCTATCCGTTGTCAATGGTTACTTCGACCGTGAGACCGAGAGAAATAGCGACAGAGAGAGAGAGCAGCTTGATATTTGTTTGTATATTTGCGATAATGCACAGTTTCTTGGGAATAAATGAAGAAGGGGGAAGCAAAAGGAAAGGGGCTCTATCGGGAGAGACTAAATAACACCAAGCAGCGTTATTTAGAGAAACTACTTGACATCAACATGGACCCGTACGACCTGCTACAGAATGGACGAAAGACCCAAAAGCACAACCACCTTTCACATACGCTGACATAGTTAATTACCTGGTTTGTTTACTGCCTACACAATGCAAGAGTTCAGATTCAGAAACTTTAAGTCATTAGAAGCTGAACAAGTCTGTTGCGGCTGGGTGCAAGACTTAGAAACCCCCAAACCTGTAACGTTAAACTGCGAGAGTTCAGTCATACTTGATGTTTCATTCAGGCCTCATTCATATGTGGAAATAAATCTGATATGAATCAGATACGTGCATTTGCACCTGCCGTGCAACGTTAAGCGAACAGATCGGACATTCCCCTGTCAATGCGAATCGTACGTCATTAAAAAAAGTGTATTTTTAAAACATTTCGCGGTACAGATATATCTATAACAAATGAAACAACTCTAGTTGAATAACAGAGAATTCATTTCGTTCGTTTGTGTTAAATAAAAGGTGAACTGTGCTGAAATGTGTTGCTTTTGAAAGCAGGCTTTGCTCGCTGTTGCTACTGTCAGTTTATTGGCAAGCAGTTTCTCTAAGCTGGCTAGCATTGTTATTTAGTCTCTCCCGATAGAACCCCTTCCATTTCTCTTCCTTCTCCATATCTTCCAAAGAAACTGCGGCGTATCGGTAAAATGTAAAATGTTAACAAATACTAAGCTGCGCTGTCTCTCTTTCGCTATTTCTGGAATGTTCAGTCGCGCCTCTGTGAAGTTCTGAAGGCGTTGCCCCTGGCGACCGATAGCGTCTCCTCCCATCATGGCCGACCGGCTCAGACCCCGCCCAAATCGGCACTTGACTCCTCACTCTCAATACAAAATAAGAATAAAAACTAATACCGCCAGACTAATATCGTGAATTATGAGACTTATTATTTTTTTGGCTGCAACCATTTTATTTGTCTGCAAGTTTGTTTGCTTTGCCCTAATAGAGAGAAAACCAGTCCAAATGATACTATATATATATATTAGGGCTGTCAGTTAAACGCGTTATTAACGGCGTTAACGCAAACCCATTTTAACGGTGTTAATTTTTTTATCGTGCGATTAACGGTCTTTTTGGCCTAGCAAACTTTGTCGTTTTTTTCACATGCTTTTGCAATAGGACGCGACATGCGCGGCGCTGCGCTGCGCTGCGCTATGAAACCCATTCATTTCAATGGCCTGGGCCACGTGAGAACGTTTTGAAAGCGCAAGCGGATCTAGCTTGACCGGAAACAAAACAACAGGCACGACGCCCCACACACTTGTTTGGGCTTGCGAGCCGGCCAAATAGTTGGTTAACGTTACGTTTTGAGTGGATGACGAGTGCGAGACGCCGAAATGGATGCCAATAAGATTCTGAATGGAAAGTTTACTTTTAAAAAGTTGCCAAATGGTTCCATTGACTAGACCAAAGTGATCTGTGTGTTTTGTCGTTGTGAACTGAGCTATCATCATCGCAGCACGTCCAGTCTGAAATACCACTTGATGGCCAAGCGCACACACACAGCTGATGGGAATTCTCCGCCCCCTCGTCAATATCAGGACCTCGTCAGTATTTCTTTCACCCTTTTATTGATGGACAGTGTTATATTGTGTGAGAGATTATTTGCTCCAAGTGAGAATGTAAGTGTGAAATTGAACACAGTATTGTCAATGTTGTTTTCAATCAAAAAAACATTTGCACAAAGCAAGCCGATCCACTTTTCCATGTTGATAAGAGCATTAAAATGAGAAAAAAGAATGGGACAAAAAGAAATCAAGAGACATTTAGAATAGATAAAAATGTGCGATTAATTGCGATTAATCACGAGTTAACTATGACATTAATGCGATTAATTGCGATTAAATATTTTAATCGTTTGACAGCACTAACATATATATATATATATATATACACTCACCGGCCACTTTATTAGGTACACCTGTCCAACTGCTCGTTAACACTTAATTTCTAAGCAGCCAATCACATGGCGGCAACTCAGTGCATTTAGTCATGTAGATATGGTCAAGACAATCTCCTGCAGTTCAAACCGAGCATCAGTATGGGGAAGAAAGTTGATTTGAGTGACTTTGAACGTGGCATGATTGTTGGTGCCAGAAGGGCTGGTCTGAGTATTTCAGAAACTGCTAATCTACTGGGATTTTCACGCACAACCATCTCTAGGGTTTACAGAGAATGGTCCGAAAAAGAAAAAACATCCAGTGAGCGGCAGTTCTGTGGGCGGAAATGCCTTGTTGATGCCAGAGGTCAGAGGAGAATGGCCAGACTGGTTCGAGCTGAT